CCTAGATTCAAAGCATTATGGTTGTATGTGCACCATAGGAATCTTAGAGTACATAAAACCCAACACATGCCATACTCATGAGATTGGTGTTGTTTGGTTTTTTGAAGCCAAAATGTCTGCAGTTTGCTAACTACATCTGCGAGTCTCTACAACAGAAAAGGTGGACTAAATGTCTACAGTCTGCCATAAAAAGACAATTTGTTGTTAACGTCTGCAACTGTTGAACTAAATTGATTTTTCAACCATAATTTCATGTCATAAACATTAAAAATGCATTTTCAGCAAAAAAAAAAAAGAAAGAAAGAAAACTGCACGGTGGTCCATCTTTTTGTTTTGTTTATGTTAAAATCAGGTCTGAAGACCATTGAAGACAATGGACCATGTATGTGCTAGGCAGATCTCGCATAGACGTTTTTTGATCTGCACACTTCCAAAAAATAAAGATCATGCGAGGGCATATGTTTGCTCCTTGTACGTGCGATATAGGAAAAAATGGTTGTGCAGATCTTTACAAAAAAAAAAACCCATAGATTCATGTTATAGCCCTTAGATAAGTGATGAAATATACCCTTGTTGTTCAAGTATCTATATGAACGTGAGACATAGATATAGTCAATCTCAAACATTCAAAATTTTGTTTTTCAAAACCGACCTGTGTTAACCAAAAGTAGATTACATAATCGATCTATTAGTTCCATTTGGGGACGACCATGCTTTTTAATGTCAACACAAAATCATTTAAGGGCTCATTTTTTAGATTATATGTCTAAGCCCATAACTATTATTGGTATGTATTCAACCCGAGAGTAGCATGGTCCATTTGGGTTACATAACACAAGGACAATTTGTTAGGATGGACTCTTGAGAGAAAATAATATATGATTTATTAGTATATTATAAGTTCTAATGTATTAATATAAGATCATATGTTTTAATTAGTATTGATCAAGAATTAATTTGGAATTACTTTAGTGATCAAAAGAGACTAATTAAATTTATGTGGACTAATTAGGTATTTAGTTATATTTATGTGTGTTGGGATTATGAACCATGTTAGACCAAGTTTATGTATGGACACATAAAGAGTTTGGCCACATGAACCATGGATCATAAAACCCATGGATGTGGATTTGGGTTATACCCATGACCTATGGAATCCAACATATAAATATGTTAGTTCATGACCAAAAACGTGTGCTTTTTTTTTCTTAGAGAAATATGGAGGTTTTTGGATGCATTGAATTCTCTCTTAAGACTCGCACTTGTTCTAGGTGAGTTGTGATTCCATTTGAGGTCCAACACTTGGGGCACAAAGTTCTTAAAGTCCAAAGTCTTACTAGCAACATCAAATACATCAAGACTTCAAGCCACATAAAAGGTATGTTACCCTAACTATTATCTTGTATTGTTTATGAGAAATTGCATGCTAGTTATACTTTTAATACCATGGAAACAACTTTGCATGTATAATTGGTGAAAACATAGATCCAAGGTATTTAGGGTTGTATGTGCACCAAGGTATTTAGGGTTGTATGTTCACCATAGGATGTTGTAGTGTACTAAAACCCATCACCAATGACTCCAACTATTTAAGGAACAAGTGAACAAATAAACTTTGACTACATGGATTCCACTTATTACTAATGGCATATCTAGTGAAACCATGTATGATTTCCATTTACGAAAAACATTTGGGAAAAGCCAAGACACAACATATTGTAGAGCAAAAATCCCATGGATCTCCATTTGAATAATATATGATATTGTCATCTTAAAATTACTTATAACAGAATCTATGAAGTAATCTCTAAGTACCGGTTACTCTAATACCTTAAAATCTACGTTTAAAGTACTCATGATTATTTGTCGCAAAATTTTTTTATGTTCGTCCCAAATATTAGGTTCTCTACTTATTAATCATCATATCAAATAGAGGCCAAAACAACACTAGTTCCTAAATTAAAACAAACAAAACTAAAAGTGTTCAAGTTAATACACATCCAAATCTAATGACATTAGATCTTTATCTAGCTACTAACCATGATTAGGGCTTTAAGATAAAGGGATGAGTCGACAAGATTCTCTTTAGTTGACTATGATGTTCTCACAATCGTGAAAGTACTTAGCATGCATTTACAATGTGATGCTATGTGATTTAGGATCTATAATCAAGGTAAAGTCACCTTTAGTTCACAACAAACTTCAAGAGAACAATCAATGATTGAATACAACACTGAGGCCACTAATGAATTTCTTTTAGTCAGATAGTTTTTCTTTGCAATTTAAGTAACTGCAATATACTCTAAGCTTATTATCAAATCCATTTTGGTTTATTACTTGGTACTTTTCCAAGTTAATACTTTATTATTTTTAAGAGCGCAAATTGCGACTACTAAATGGAGATGACATTATTAGTAAGGAATTTACTATCAATGTAACTCTTTCATTGATTTCTTCCATACTATAAAGCTTATCTCGTTTGTCCTTTTAGGATTCTAAAGAATATTCTTGATTCTTTAGTCATTGATTATACAAAAAATGATATTATACCACTTATCATGCACAAGTCATTATTTTTGCTAGAAGGCACTCTTTAGGAGTTTTTCATCTCGAGCCTCCTTAAGATTATAAGTATTTCGCTTAAATTATTGATTTAGTTAGATCTATCTCCATTGAATTTAAGTATTCTTTCTTGTTCTTCCCATGCGCTTCATAGTGAGACAATTCCTAAGCTATGTAAAGCTTTTACACTTAGCAAATTTAGGACAATGTTTCCTATTTCAATACATGGGACAACATTTCTCCCACTGGCTTCGACATTTATATGGACTATTTTTTGTCTCTCGTAATTCAACTTTTGAATTTCTTATCAAATCAAATGATCCAACCATGATATGCTTTTTATAATCCATCAATGGACCTTTCATGCATATATATCTTTCACAAGCATTTTGGTTAAACTATATATATGTTTCTTTCCATGTTTGTCATCTTTTGAAGATCTAAAAACACCATATGGGTTTAACAACGAGTTATGGATCAAGTCAAATTTCTAACATAGAATAAATCTCATTCTTCATAGATTCCTCTAATTTTGGCTTTTTGGGCCTTACATGGCTTCCAATAGTTGATAGACATTGATCGTAATATATTTATGACTTAATTCCCAAGTGACTTGGAGCCAACACGGTCTATGACGTCTTTTATTAGATCTATGTGGAATACATAGAAGTATGCCATTTTTCTTAATTGGCTTTTACATCTAATTAAGTGCTAGGGTATTTCTTTAGGCTCTTCATTAATTAATTATTGAGTAATATCAAGATCAATGTGGCTCCCAATAGTTCTTTTTGATATTAACTCTCTCTTTCGAAAGACAAACCCTTATAGCAACAAATACTATGTTCTCAGAGGGTTTCAAAAACATAGTTGGGACGTCCAATGAACTAATATATTCCACAGAGTGTTTGATAGAACTTTATTAGGTTGTACACGGCCAAACACTTTTGTAACACTTATTCATGGTATAATCCATGAACTATTTGTATGCATGATATGACACCAATTACAAATCAGAGAATGATTTATTTCTCTATCCAACTATATTGCTTATGGAAATACTTTGGTTTCAGATGAATTGTGAAATGGTTTCATAATTCCATTACATAATCGTTAAGGTTTTGCTCAAGATTCTCACTATCCTATTGAATATATGTTTCTTATTATTTCACTCAATTGATTCTAAACTTCATTTTTTGATCAATCTTGAACGGAAAATTATTATGAACTAATTCCTACAATTTATAGTGTCACAAAGTGATGTGTAAGATCATTTAGATTCTATAATATGGAAATCAAGATTCGGTTACATAAACAAAATGAACATGAGAATGTAAGTACACTACTAGAAAACCAGCCTTTTACGACAAGCAATGCATGTCGTAAAACGCTTAAACAACGCGCAAATACGCGTCAAGAAAGGCCCTATCATAATGGAAGACGACGCGCATTTGCGCGTCGTTTGTTTACGATGCGCAATGCGTATCAAGAAAGGCCCTGTCATAAATAATGATGACACATATTTGCGTTTCGTAACCTTACGACACACGAGATTATGACACACAATGCGTATCAAGAAAGACCATGTCATGAAGGCAGGCGACACACCATTGTGTGTCGTAACATTACGGCACGCCTTTACGACTCACAATGCGTATCATTAAATATATTATCATTTGGATGTCATAAATTCCAGCTACCAGCTAAATATCCCTTTACGACGTGCATTTATGACACACATTTACAACATGAATACACATAATAAATGACAAATATATACACCAAAACATTCATTTTCATCTAAACATCAAACAACTTACCTAGCAACATTACATACAGGTCAAGTTACCTTAAGTAATTACTAAAAGTTAGCAAAAACATGTACATGTGTGTCAAAAGACTACCTAGCATTACAACACATGTCAAAAGACCATACCTAGCATTTCACTGTTAACCATAGCATTGTTTTGCGGATACATTGTCAAAAGACCATAATCATCGATAAATGAAGCCTATAACAAACTCTGACCATTCTTCACGTATCTCATTGATATCATTAGTTGTGTACTCAACTTTGCCATCCCCGATCTGTGAAAAAATTTGCACATTGTTTTTATTAATAAAAATTAGCATATTAACATATTCTGTAACAGTAAGTTGCTATATTTAACAAATAAGCATAAAATGGAAATTATTCTTTCTTAATAGGGCATTGTACTTTCAAATGAAAGAAAGCACGTTTTATTTTTGCTTGTAACCTAATATTTCAATTATAATTATGAGAGTAGGATGCCATAAAATGATAATATATCATACAAATAATCATTCAAATGTTAAACAAAAATAATACATTGCTAACATGGGTTATACATTCCTATAAAACTAATAGGTGACCTTGTTCTAGATCGAGGTCGAATTGGATCGATGGCGACGATTGGATTTTAGATACCCAACATGATTATTAACCTAAGACCTTGTGCAACAGGTGCATGCCATGCCCTATTTCCAGCAACCACCACACGTTTTAGTGTCTCAAGGGCTAGTATACTTTCTCCTTCCCGTCCAATAGCTTTCATTAACAATGAACCACCTGTAATTTATTTATAAAAAAAAGCAAGGTCAAAAATGGAAACTAACTATGCCCTTGATCCAAGTGTCTTTGTGCATTTCTCTTTCAAAAAAACAGTGTTTGTGTGCATTTAATAACTCAATAGTAAATAAAAAGATAAAAAAAGATATAAATATAAATATATAGTGATATAGTTATATACCTCGTATCCCGGTATAGAACCAGAAATGCAAACACTACATTCACTATGAAAATGCCAAATAGAAAAAATGATAACATAAATCTTCTTTTAACTTTAGGTTTATAAGGAATGTTATAACTTTGTAATGCATATACAAGCTACATACAAGAACTTATGGTTTTGTGAAAAGTATTCTAAAACTGATGTTGAATAAGAAATGTCTATTCATTTCAAAACTGATAATGAATTGACATTATAAATGAAAAAATATAAAAAGAAATTAAATTTACTAAACATAAAACCTAACATACCTCCATCCCTAAGCGCTGGATGAACAAAGAAACCCATTGTTTCAACTGAAGCATCAAATTAAGAATTCTTCGAAACATTGACTTACTAGTCCAATGCATTGACCAACCCATGGACAATGATGGTCAAATCTTTGAAAACAATTGTTGCCGACAGAGCAATATGACGCTCTTGGAGGATGATACAGCTTACAAGTATCATAGTATTTGACATTAACAGTGTGACCTTTCACAAGTTACATTGTAGTTCAAATTTTCTCTGTTCCATACCTGTCCTGCGATTTTACTATGAAAGGCAACAAAAGAAACATGACATCAGATGCTGATATGGAAACAATATCCTTCAAATTTAGCAAATAAAAAAATTAAAAACCCCCTGAAAATAAAACTGCACAATAAGATAGCGTCCAGTAAAATTACTAACATTTCCATTTCTTGCTACTATCCTATCTGTTTCAAATTAAGAAATAAATTATCATCCCATGGTTTGAATATGCTTGACAGTCACCATAGTTTGTTTAAGCAGTTGTTAAGGCTGCAAAATTACATGTTTAAATAAATTCTTGTTTATCAGAAATTAAGGTAATGACAGCTGTCGTTGCCATGCTGGCAAACATAACAAAGTTGCTTAACACCCAGACTAACCTTGAACCCATCCACTAACACATTGGCTCAATCAGGAAAGAGCTGATACCAAGAACCAACTGCCCAACTCTTGGTTAGAGAAATGATTATAAATATGAATTTAGTGATTATTTAGAATTTGAAAAATGAAATAAAAATGCAAAACTCTTATTCTTAGTAAATTCAATAGCAAACCAAAAGCACGTTCTCTAACACCATCATCATAAGCTTGAACTTTGGTAGTATCTCCTTTTGGGTCCCCATGATAAACCTCTCTCCCCATCCAATCCGTATAAAAAAGAAAGAAAGGGAACCATGACAACTACACATGTGATGTGAATATATAAAAAACTAAACAAAAGCAAAATGACCATTTTAACCTTAGTTTCATTTTAAAAGCTTACCCATGTGAGAGTCATGACAATAAGCACTGAATGCATACCTACTGGTAAATGACATAAGCTGGTCAACAAGTTGACGAAAACTGCCCCTAGATTATCATTAAAAGTTTCAACTTCATCTTCTTCTTCAACCACAGATGATTTACTAGAATTCGTCAGGGGTTTTGAGTTTGAATTTTCAGACCCTGTCTGCTGATGATTTTTAAGAATAGGAGCAAAATCTGATATTTTTTATGTTGTTTTATTGCTAAAGGGATCTCTTTTAAAAAGTAGAGTGTCACCAGTGTGCAAAATGTAAGAAAAATATGCAAACATGCAATGATGTTTTGTATTATTAAATATTCCAATTTTCCTTTTGTCAATTAGAAACATTAGAAGGCTTTTTGTTTGTCAATTTATCAATTTTAAGATATATTTATATTTAGCTATTAAAACTCACCACTGCAACTAAAAAAGATGCCTTGAAATTTCCACTTGCCTCATACCAAGCTATACTTTTCAAGAAAGGAAACCACCTGCCATGAAGAATGAACAAATTAATTAGAAAACAAAATGAAAAAAAAAAGTCAAATACAACCACATAATATAATAAGAAGACTTCCAATAGATAATCTATATGTCCCAATTTCCACTAGAACCAGATAGAAACCCTAAGACGTTTCCAATCTCCATCCATGAACAAAATATAACATTTTCTGACTTCCTCTGATTAGGGCCTATCAATAAATGAATAAATATTATTATTAGCATTTATAGAGACATAACACAAACATCATAAGGTGAAACTATTAACAAATTTGGGTTTAGGGTTTTGATCAACATTAATATTGATCAATTCAGAAAACTGGGCACATATCTGCTAATTCAGCCAGGAGAGCTCGAGCGGGGCCCTGAAATTCTTAAAATTGTTACTTGAATTTAAAATAATGGTTTAAAACACAAGCCTTTTTTAAAAGGAATTTTTTTTATAAATTGTTACATGAACAGTGTTATTAGCAAGATCCAGCATCCATAAACCTATGATGAAAATAAAAGTCATCCTTGTTTGTGTACCGTTATACACAATGAATTATAGAATTATGTGATATACAATCAATTATTATGAAATATAATGAGAGGTATAAACTATAAAGAAGAAACTAGAAACCTGCAATGTTCCTTTGTATCTCCAATCAAGTATCCAGTGTTTGCAGAAAACCCGATAGTTATCACCTAAAGTGCAAAATGTAGTTCAGTGGATACAAATATATAGTAAAATAAAACTGCTGAAAAAAAATATTTATGCCATGTGAATGCTCACAACAATTGATATCACTAAGGATCCAATCATAAGTATAAGAAACCACCAGAAATGAAAAGAAAATACCCAAAAATCATCATTATAAACAAGTAATGTAAAGAAAATACCCAAAATCATCATCATCATATCTCGAGAAAACATATTTCTTTCTTCTTTCATTTCTTACAAAAAGTAAGGTACCAATGTCCTTGGTCCTGTCATCTGATTGTTTTTTTCAGTTTCTGTGAAAAACTTTACCTCTCTCTCTTATCACACCGACCACAATTATTAATTCATTATTAAATAATATACTCCTATAAGAAAGAAAAAAGGGTAAATTAACTTATTGGAAAACCATGTTTTCACTAAAGCTTAAAATTGAAGTTATGTTGCCACACCGATAACAATAATTTGGTTCAGACCAAGCCTATAAGATGATGAAAGAAAATGGAAAATCAAAATTTTTGATTTTTGGGAGTGAAAGAATGGGTAAAATAGGAAACTTACAGTTACAAGTCCTTTATATTGAAACATGTAGTTTAAAGAATTGAATCTCTAAGGTTTTTGTTTGGTTCAAAAGTAAACTTAAGGTTGATATCTTCCCGAAGCCACCAATGTTGGTTGCAAAAACAACACTAAGTGTTACATATACACTTGAAAGGATTTGAAAATATCTACAGTTATACACTTAGTTAGTTACCTGATTAAGGGTGGGATTATTATCTACTTTTTGGATCTTTGTTATCAGAGAACAATCTTTGTTATTAGGTAAGCCTGGTGACGCACATAAAGAGTCATGATCATATTTTGCAATCCAAAATGTGTAGTAATCCTTTTCATTGAGGCTCTTGGATAGATTAAAACATAGTTTAGTGTTGTGTTTTCCTTCAGTCTATCTCACATAGACATTATGTCAAGCACCTTGTGGGCGTGCATCACTAACTGACCTAACAAAGACTGATTCATGTTCATGGCTATACCCTCCAAAGCATCTTTATGAGTAGAAAAATTAAGTGTGTGATATATCAACCAATAGTTCTGATATTACATAAGAAAATGATAAGGTAAGAGAAAGAAACCTATGGTACATACATGGAGAAGAACAGAATGAAATTCAAGCCTGGTGCCTTTTCAATTTTCGTTTCCAAATTTACGATGCTTCCAATCTGACCATGAACCTCCGACTTCTAATCCCAAATCTGACATTCAACCTTCAATTTCTGATCTTCAACCTCTAACTTGAGCCTTAGAGTTTCGAAACCCCAAAACTGACCTTTCGAGCTTCATCTATTGGCCTTGCAAGGATGTCGGAATATCCAGAAGTCACTAAGATTTCACAAAAGCGATAAGATATCATGGATAAGTTTATCAGAGAAAAATCTGGAACGAGTCAGTACCAGCCGAAATAAGAATTAGAATCTAAGGAAGAAGAAGAAGAAGAAGAAGAAGAAGCTAGGTCGTCGGAGCCAGAGAAGAAAGAAGGGAAGCTGAGTAAGGATGACGTGTTGAACTTGGGAGACGGTGGAAGACTACACTGATAAAGTCGGATTAGCTTTTTATAATGGTGGTCTGGCAAACCACCAACCATCTATACGTGGCGGTTTCAGTCCAAAGGTTCTTGATGATATGTACCAACAAGCAAGGGAAAACTCCGGGAACATAGATGCCGGAAGTTCCAGTAGTGTCGCCGGATAGATGTTAGTAGAGGAGCAGATGATGTGGCTGCAATATCAAAAAAGATGGATTGCAAGATCATAGGTAAACACACACAGACACACACACACACACCTTTTTAAACGCCTAAAACACAGTTGCTGATATCTGACAATGAAAGCTTGGTACGTTTCTTTATGGAAACCCCTAATTGCATTCCAACTGTAACTAGGGTTTCCAGATATCTTCCATTATCAGGGACAAAAAAACCTTAAAATCATGGGTGTTTTGAGTGTGAGGAGTCGTAGACCCCCAATAGGCGACTCCATGAGTTCAGCTCCCTGATTGCAGAATACCTATGAGTCAATTAGTTAAGAAAATGCATAACACCAACCCTTATAGTGGCTTACAACACTGAGATAAAGATTTGAAACATCAAAACAATCGTTGTCGCAAGGCATTTGATCAAGTTGGTAAAGCAATCCTCCTATGAAGACGAAGGCCATAGGGCTTTTTCTTGCTAATTGGAAGAGGCGGCAGGTTTAATTTTTGGGATCCAATAGGCGGGTGACCCGCTTAAAACATGTGTTTCATTAAAAAAATATAAAGCGACAGATTTAGATGACACCCATTTTAAGAAAGGAGCCCCCCGCATTTCCATTTTTTCTATTCTGATAATAATTTTAGGGCACACACAAATGTGTGTCCTCTATCCTTCATATTTTGCAAAACTGACATTATTATTTAGGGCATGCACAAATGTGTGTCCTCTATTAGCACGTATCATTGTTTGCGCGTCATTAAAGGGTATTTTTCTAGTAATGATAAGATATGATATTTTATTTAAAGATTAAAGGTATGTTATTAAAAAGATGTAAGACACCTTTAAAATATACCCTCGACATACAACTAAACATCCCTTATACAATGCATACAAAGGAGTTAGTTAGGCTCTAGCTAATACGGTCAGGACACCTAGGTTAACACAACTGTGAAGAGAAGCTAACACATAACCGTGAAACCTAAGTTTAGAAATATATATATATATATATATATATATATATATATATATATATATATATATATATATATATGTACGAACACAGACTATTTGTTCACATCTACAAGTGAAGACCTATGAAATAAGACTACGAACACCCTTTCGATTAAGAACTCTACCACAATATATGCAATTGAAAAATCCAAAAATCTCCCCCTTTATGTTGAATTGCAAAAGAAGTCTTCAGTTGACTTCATCAAAAACATCGGGATAACACCAAGAATAACAATGTAAACTCTCAACCACCATCTAATCATATCAGGGACACATTTGATATTTTCTTTAGTATTTATCTTACACGTCTCAACTCTAGTAAGAATTCCAATGAGTGTATACGAGCTATAACAATATTTATATAAGAGAAACACCAGTATGTTATGAACTCTTATATCTTCATGAACTTTATAAACTATTCCCCATGGTTATTTTTAAATATAACCCCCTCTAATCTCATTAATGTTACTTAGTTGAGCACAAGTTTTAAGCTTGTGTTTTTATGAAAGGGCCTAGCAACTTCAACACTAATCTTACATAACTCCATGCAATAAGAATAGATAATTCGCCTCAAGTGTTGGAGTTGAGATCCAAACTTACACTCGTGCTTCTTTAAAATTATGAATAACACAATCCAGTCTTTGGGATTCTTAATGATGAGATCAGAACAATTAAAAACTGATCATTCATTGTTTGTGCCTTACAAAACAGTAAATTTAAGGTTTGTGTATTCTCCCAACCTTATTTCCCGAATCTTCTTCACAACAATAATCTTATTTAACATCCATACTTCATACCCCGGATTTGAATAAGTAATGTAGAATGTAAGGAGCTTCTTGTTCGCAACACTATTAGATAGAGGTTTAACCAAATTTTTTCCACTTTGTACCAAAAATGATGATTAAGGTGATTGGTTTGAGCCAAAAGAACATCCTATGTGCTCATGCAAACCCTAATGCTTGGATCTAGGTTTTACTTATTGTACATGAAATCATCCAAGGCTTATAAACCCTAGATCTAATGAGAAGAATTCAAAATTATATAAAACAAATCAGATCTAGATCATTACCTCTTGTTGCTTGCTTGAATCTTTTTGTAGTTGAAGCTTAGAGTCACAAATGTTACTCCTCTAATGGATTACAAACATCAATAGAAAAAGAATGATCTTGGAAAGAGGTTGGAGGGTTCTTGAATTCGGATCTATCTCACTTAGGGTTAGGGTGGCCGAATTCTGTAGCCTAGGGGTCTTATTTATACTGGAACAGTTAGGGTTTCAGTGAAAAACCCTAATGGACAGCTTAAACCCTAAGCAACCCATGGAACCTTCTGGAATAAAGTCCATGGATGAAAATATGATCGGATCGCATCATAATTCCGTTCACCCCTTGATTCATTAGGTTTCTCAGCCCAAAATTCAACTATCACACATTTGACAGTTTAAGTCCCGTTTATTCAATTAATCTCTTGTAGTCACCAAACTAATTCCTAATTAAGTTACGAGTAATATTAATTAAATAATATTATTTCTCTTTTAATATGTTATTCTTATAATATATTAATAAACCATAATTTCTCCTCCCTCTCCATAAATCACCATGTCAAGTTGCTATGGTGAAGGCAACCCAAAAGGACCATAAACAACCGGGTCAAGTACTTACCAAATATGGTTACGGCTTGGACACTCATCTAACAGTCTCCCACTTGGATAAGTATAGTCACCATAAATGCAAGTAGAAGACAATTAGCAAGCGTAGCTCTCAAAGATGTTGTCAAAATCTGATCTTATCAGTAATCTGTCCTTTAGATAAGGGATCGTATGATCCTTTGTTCTAAATATCATGCTGACAATCACATGGAACATAGTCATACTTATTGTCCAATAGTTTGTTCTTCATCTAAGATTCGCCTAACATAGAACATAATCAAACACATCAATTTAGTTCTAACCGAGCCCGATACATAAGTCAAACTTAATCATCGAGGGCCTTGATATCACTTTTACCCTCTTAGGATAAAAGGAACATATAAACTTCGACTTATATGCATTTACTATTCACTAATCAAATCATATACAACAATGCGTTTTATAACATCAAGTTACTGATGCATTTACGCATTATCAACGTACAACCAATTAGCCATCAATAAACCATATATGTAGGTTTTAAGACCATATGATATTACCGTCTTGCAATCACTCGTGATAAATTCCATGAAGTGATTCCAGCAAGCGTGGGTTTATTCCAATGCTCAAAACTTGTTCATAGGCACTCATGAATGTTGAATCACACTTTTTCTATGTCTAATACACTTTAGACAATCTACACACCCATTCATGACACTCTTCATTCATACCTACTTCAAACATATGAACGACTTTGGACCGTTTGAATAATCTTATTATTTAGGAAGTCAAAACATGCAAAATGAAACAATAGGTAAACAATTAACATAAGACAGCAACTGTACTTATAAATGATACCATTTATTTAATCAACAAATGTCAATTACATTTATCTATTACACGTTTCCAAACTATCTAATCTAAACTAATATCACCCCTCAGCCCAATGCTCCTAGCATGCTGTAGGTGCTTAACACTACTCAGTCCCTTCGTAAGCGGATCTAGGGGGTTATCCTCCGACGATACCGTTTTCATTACCAGGAGTCCTTCTTCTACCCGATGTCGAATGAAATGATATTTTATGTCGATATGTTAAGATCTACCATGATCCCTCGATTACTTGGTTAAGGCAACCACTCCTTCATTATCATAGAAAATTTCCATGGGCCCCTCCAAGTCACTGCTCCTCCATTAAGGGTAAAGACCCAGCCCGACTGCGAATGGTAGTTGTCCCTGTCATTTTGAAAACAGGCATCACTGTACCCTCCCACATTCACGTCATCACTCCTACCGAGGACTAGAAACCATTCCTTGGTCCTCCGCAGGTACTTAAGAATATTCTTGATGATGCTTTGCTTTGCTTGGGTTCCCTTGATATTTGTTGACGATGCTCAAAGCAAAGGCCAAATCAGGGTGAGTACAAGTCATAGCATACGTGATCGAGCTAATTGTGGAAGAGTAAGGTACTCGGCTCATCTTTGCTATCTCAGCTTCGGTATTCGGACTTTGAGTCTTTCTCAATTTGGCATTACTTTGGATTGGTAACTCCCCTTTCTTGGAATTCTCTATACTAAAACATTTTAGTACCTTGTCCAGGTAAGTGTTCTGACTAAGTCCTATTAGTCTATTACTCCTGTTTCTCACTATCCTTATTCCTAACATATAGGCAGCTTCTCTGGGGTCCTTCATAGCGAAGCACTTCCCGAGCCAGGACTTAAACTCCTGCAATGTCGGGATGTCGTGTCACAGCCCAAAACCAAGAACGACGGAATTGTTCTGGGGCGGATGACTTTATGTACAGTATCACAATACAGGATAATAGTAAACAAGTAATCAACATCATCCATTGCATTAAATATATAATTTTAATACAAGTGTGTTCTGTAGTATATAAGACACCAAAACATAAATCAAAATATAAGATGAGTCTTGTATGTGCTCCATCTTCTCAAAAGTTGGCATCGGTACCTGTGTACTGATGACCTGAGAATACAAGTTATTTTGAAAGAGTTTATCAACATTAAAGTTGGTGAGTTCATAAGTATTTAGTGTCTATGTTTGCATCAAAATATTTGAAACAATGTTTGAAGTATGAGTTTGTAAACGTTTGTAGTAAAAGTATGTGAATGTTTGTAAGTGTTTGTAAAGGTTTGTAACTCCTAGAAAATCCTATATTTTCTCCTAAAAGTAGCCTTCTACCAAGGCACAACTGTTTTGTATGTTTGTTTCTTGTAAAGGTGTGTAATTTTCCCAAGTGTAACTATCATTATCAAAATATAGTTTGTACATAAAGGCATAAGTGAAGCAATCACCAAATAAATGTAAAGAGTAAATTAATTTAGAACTGTAGTGTTGTTTTACAGGAATTACTGTTGTACTAACTACCTTAAACCAGATTTATATCAAATTATTATGTGATTAGTTGTACCATACTATCGATTGGAAAACACGACAAAGTAAATCATCAAAAGGTATGACATTTGGCACCCGATGACCTGGAGGTCCCACTGTACCTAGCAGCAAGGTGTAGGATAGTCAATCCAGTATAGATCTCTACGCAAACTCATGCTCTCGCTTCAGGAGATTCTGGTCACAACTCGGGCCATGACAATGACTGCATGCTCCGATATAGTGGATCACATTTATGTTAAAGTGTACTTGTATATGTAATGTATTGTTTCGCATCATAGTATCGTTGTATGTTCTCATCATAGTATCGTTGTATATGTTCTCAGCATAGTATAGTTGTATATTTTCGCATCCTAGTATAGTTGTATATGTTCTCATAGTAATAAGTAATGACTCATGAATGAACTGACTCTTGTATG